TCCTGATACACAATTCAGATAGCCAATATTAGTTGATGTTTATGGCTAAATACTGCCCAGATGTCTCTTTTTAAAGAATGACCTTTTTTTATTTCTTCTTTTTTTGGTGCCTAGAGAGAGTTCTGATTGCCCAAGCAAGGCCAAAGCAAAGACACTTTAAGCAGAGAGACACAAAACCAGGATCCTCTCCCATGGCAATTTTGCATTTCCAGCAGAGCTGCTCTTCAGTTCTTGCAACAGCCTTTACACAGTCAATGCTCCCCCACCTCTGTAGGGATATTTCAGGCCACTGAGCTCAGCACCATGCCTCCCTTCAACGTGAAGGCCGTGGACAGGCGGACAGACTGGTGTGACAGCAGCCAAGGTGCAGCTCAGTTGTACAGCTCACTGGGAGGTCGGAGCCTGCCCACTGTGCCCCTTCACAGCCTTCTGACCCCTGCGTGGAAGGACAGGGCTCCTCTGGTTTCCAGCTGCTGAAGGCTTGCTAAAGGGAATGAGGGTTTGCTCTTCTATCTCCATTTGCAAGAGTGTTCAAATACCAAAGTTAAATCCAGGCTTATCCTCTTGTTTCTTTACAGAAAAGCTTCCACTCAAAGCAGACATGTTCTCAAATCTATTATCCTCTATATTGTTCATAGTGGTTCTAATTTTTCCCACGTTGCTCAAAGCTCTATCCTCAGGTGACTGTTCTCTGAGCTTTTGCAGTTCAACTTTACCTTTCAAATAAGATTTATCCATTAAAAAACAATTCCACTGCTTTTTGCAGCTATCATTTTGTCACATATGGATTTATTCAATAAATGCTTTTAATAGCAACATTTCTAGGCTTTGTTTGTCAAGGGCTGCCAGGCTTTTACACGCCAGGGCTGGCACAGACGCTGAATTGCCTCTCTGTACCCAGGGGAGAGTTCCCTGCTGGTCATGACAGAGGTCCAGCACATGCAACTAAATGAAAGGAAATTAAAAATGCGAGCATCTACATAATTCACAGCCAGTAAACGGTGGTGAGTAGCAGGCTTCCAGCAACTTCTGGACCTCAGCAAAGCTTCTAATAAAAGCAGAGAAATGTGATTTTAATCTGCAGTTACCCAAAGCCCTAAAAGCCAATCTTCAACACAAGAATCAGGAAAGGGAACTATATAAAGGCCATCAGCAAGAGCAAATCCAGCCAGCCCAAGGGCACTGGGAAGTAACAGCTGACAGGAGAGAGGGGAGAGGTCAAGATCAGTATGCCAAAAATCTTCCGTTCCTGTGACAGCCTTAAATGAAGCAGCACTGCTGTTGTCTGTCTGTTGCCTGTTGCAATGGGTGTCCAGCACTTGCCCCTCAGTGTGTGTGGCATCCACCCGTGAGGATTCACACATCTCTCCTGAAGAACTGTAAAAGGTGGGGATTGTTGGAACAGAGACTGGGTCTCTTCTTTTTCTCTGCTTCCCCTGCTTCTGAGGTTTTCAGATGCCTATTGCTAAATCCTTGGCCCAAATTCCCCTCTTTAAAAGTGGCACAGTACTAAGTTTGTCTAAAGCAAAATTGAAAGAGAAAAGAGAATGCATTTCCTAATACTCTTTTGTTTGTTTTCCAAGAATTATAAACTCCTTTTGGTGCCTCTTCCGCTTTCTTTCAATGAAATATTTAATATACTCAGACATTAGGAGGACTTCTTTTTGCTCAACTTCCTCCATTCTTTCCATAGTTACCCAGTCTCACAAGGACTTATTAATTAAAATCTCTCAGTACAGTATTATCTTTCTCTGTCTACCTCTATTTTCTGTACTGCAGCTTGGGTACATTGTTGAGAGGAATCAGAGAGAGCAAAGAACCAAATAAAATGATCCCTCCAGGACTACAGTGTTCATTATACAAAGAAAACCAGCAGTTTAGATTGCTCATCCTTATTTCCCAGAGGAGGCCTCAAATGTCTTTGTTCTTTGGCTTTTTAGACAGATTTTCCTTTTCTGGTAAAATCATGTTACCTCTGAAGTGCAGGGCAGGTTTCTGGTCACATTTACCTGCTTTTCCATTAGTGGCTGTCACATACTGTTCTTCCTCATGCTCTGCCTCCAACAGTTTTGGGGTGTTGTACAGCACTCCCTGCCCACGGCTCTGTGCCCAGGCTCCAGCTCTGGGTTTCCCAGGGCAGCCTGGCTTCATGCGGACACCAAATGACAAAGTGCCATAAATGCATTACTGCTGACAACACTGATGATGAGATCCTGAAGAGGCCAGGGAAGGAATGAGCGTGGGGCCCAAAGCCCTCTCTCATCTACTGAAGTGCTGTACCTGTTCTAAGGGCAAAGAACAACTTCCTCTCCCGGAGCTGTCAGTCAAAGCCAGCTTCCTCAGTGCTAAAGTTACTATAAATATCAGAGTAACTCTTACAAACACAAATGGGGCGTACAGTGACATCTCTAGTTTATCAGGTGTTGCAAGCTGTGAACATCCTGCCTCCTTGGAGTCCACAAATTCAGATGACTCACAGACAACGCACCTATGTTACGTGTGCATGCATGTTTTATATGCTCAGTATTTTGCTCTTATCTAAACACAAAGCTGTAAAATGGAAGGGGGGAAATCCTTTAGCTGCTTTACACTTTATGCTGAGAACCTGGTATTACCTCCAGTTTGCCATCTTCCCAGCTGGCTAGATATTGTATCGTTTACGTTGGACCTCCTCCAAGATTAATGGCATCATCTGTGCAGTTTTAACAGTCTAATCTCGATAAATCTCTTTGCTTTGAAATTTGATTGTGCCCAATCTTCATTATTTTAATTGTTTAATTCATTATAATTAAGGCCCAATTAGATCTAACAGATTCCAATTCAGCCCAATGTATTCACATCTGTCTGTGAGCTGCAGGAAGAACAAGACAAACTGGGCTAATTCCACACTGGTTTTTCAGCCCAGGGACCAGGTACTATTTTTGCCACTGTGTCATGTTTGACTGCAGGCAAGTCATCTATCTTTCTGTTCCTCCAAGGGGTTGCAGTGTTTATAGCCTAACTGGGTCCCAGCACAGGTTGACATCTTTGCAAGCATTATGGAAATAACGAAAACAACCCAAAGCCCCATTCCATGCACAGCTGCCTCCTGACTGGGATTGACTCCTGCTTGTGAGGAGCACCTGAAGAAAGACTGCAAACACGGAGGCTTGTAAATACGCATCTCAGCATAAAACATGGAAACCTCCCTTCCCTTCCCACCCACCTCATACCGAGTTCTAGCGAGATTCTGGGGCTTCCCAGGGGACAGGCTCTGCCTACATAGAGGGATACCTTTTACTTGCTCTGCAATTCATGAGAGTCATCACCTGAGAACTCTGCGGCTGCAGCATGCACAGGCCTGGCTTTCAGATCCCCTCCAACAGTACATCTTTATTCTGCCTGCATCCAGGTTGCAGGGAAGGAAGGATCTCTATTTGCCAGGAGTTACGAGACAGTTGCTTCTTCTGAAGATGGAGCAAGCAGGTATACTGTGTTCCTTTCAAACAGTGAACAAAGTTGCCTACCTTCACTTCCCCATTACCTTAACCCAGCACTTCAGTAGGAAGAGCACTCACCTAGAGCACAAGGGCCCCAGATTCAATTCACTTTTCCATCTAAGAGAAGAAACCCACTTCTTCAGGGCACACACTTGCTATCAGGCTCCACAAAGGGACCTTTAGCTCCTGATAAAAAATTGTCACATTTGCCCCAAAAATTAATGACATAACATTGATCCTGAGAGCAATCACAGCCTGCTGGCCTGCTGGCCAGAGCAAGCACCCAAGGGCAAGGAGATTTGATTCTGCCCCATGCCCTAAGGACTACTTCTGTGTCTTATCTGGTGATTATTACTGTGTAAAATAAATAAACTCAGACTACCTTTCCAAGGAGTATCAGGGTTCCCTAGCACCTTCCTTGCAGCAGTATGGTGAAAGACCAAAACCACCACTGATAACAATCAGACCTCGCCTTTCTTCACCATGAAAATAAGTAGGGAAGAAACAAACGTGCACAACCTGCCTTTTTCATCTCCTTGAGAAAACCACATGTTAATGCCCCCCAACCTGATAAAAGACATTCCCTTCGGCACTGCAGGCCACCAACTGCGCGGGGTCACTAATGTGACAGTAACGGACATATGTTCCCAAGAGGACACCACAGGAGTGACATAAAAGGACTACATGCACTTGGCCCAGCAAAGATGCCCCCCATGAGGTTACAGAACAAGCCCCCACTGGTTTGCAGTGGGGGGTTTGCAGTGAGGGTTTGCAGTGCCAGGGGTTCTGTGGGCTCACATCCAGCCTTCTCTGAAAGTGTTTTGGTCAGATTGAGACCCTCCCTCCAAAAAAAACCCCAAAGAAAACAGTATCTTACTTGGGAAACTTGGTCTAGAAGCGGCAGGAAAAAGGCTCTCCATCAAACATGGAGCTAGAATTTACATTTTCAGCCCTAGGAGGGGGGGGAAAAAAAGAAAGAAAGAAAAAAAAAAGAAAAAAAGTGCCTCCTTTCTTTTTAAATCCCTTTGAACATTTTCAGGTCTGCAAAAATATTCCGTTAGAACAGCTGTAATCAAAATAATATACTGTGTACTTCTGTGAGCTAGTTTGGGGATTCTTTCCCACTCCCAAGACATAACAGGTTCGGGCTTAGGCAGAGAAACATTTTCATTTTTGCAATTCGTTTTTTCTCCGCAGAAAACGCGCTTTCAAATTCCACGTGGGACGGGGTCAGGAATTTGTGGTGGTTTGCAGGCTGCTGGAGCTGAAAAACACTTTGAGAGTCTGCAGCATTTTGTCGGGGTATTGTGATATCCACCTGGCTCTTTCTGTGATGCCTGGTACAGTTCAGCTGATGGTGACTTGCTCTTTGTTACACTGTGAGCGGAGCTGCCGAGCGTTCCTGACTCAGGTGGGCAGAACACTTCACACGCCGGCAGCCATGACCACAGCCTGAGAGGAGCCTAGCAGAAGCCACTGTTCCAAGGGAGAATCTGTCAGAGCAAGGATCTCGCTGGGAAAAGGAGGAGCAAACCACCAGCAAGGCCTGTCTATGGGGAGAAGACCATGGCAGGGAGAGAGGATTCCTGGTTGGTGGCATACAACTTTAAGTGGCACATGTAGCTAAATGAATGCCTCAAAGAGGCCTCTGAACATCCTGTGAGCTGCCATGCCTTAAGCACTTGGAGAGGTGATAATGTTGGAGATCGGTGCTGTGAATGTCGGAGTGGTGCCAGGGGCAGGACATGCCCAGCAAACTCCCTGGGAGTGCCAGAAGAGGCTTCATTTACAGCTGCAGTACAGGAACATCAGCTGAGCTTGGTACCTGAAAACCTGCAGGAAAAGCCTTCCCCACATTTGCACCCAGCTGTTTGAGGGACAGGTATTGCATACCAAGTGCCTGTACACCAAGAGCTTAAAAGTTTCATCAGAGAGAACTCCTACCCGTGTTTGCCTCATCACCAGCTGTCTGTAGGAGATGGAGAAAAATAGTTCAGAGTTTCCTGATCAGGGCTGAGTAGTTGTAGCACATACCACGCTGACTCATGGATTTACGCATGCTCCATGGAGTTCAGGACATTTCAAGAACTTCCTGCCTGAACAGCAACCATAGCTCTAGCTGGACACTTCCAAATCTCCACCTTGTCTTATAATCTGCTTATTAACACCCTCTCACCCCACGTGCTTTCCAACAGTTGCAGGTTGCAGTACAGATCTTTCCATCCTTTAACCCTAACCCTATGATTTCACCTGTAGTAGTGATTTTTAGGAGTGCTTCTTTTTCTTCAGCAAAGTCCTGAAACTAGATACACTTCATACTTTTATTACCCTCCTTCCTTCTTCTTTTCACAGAGGTGGAACCTTTCCTACAGTAGGTTTTGGGGGTTTAGGTTTTTTCCCCAGATCTCATCCCTCCACCTGTTGTCCTTAGAAGAGCACCCAATCTCTGCTTTTGAGTTCTGAGCTTTCCTTGTGCAAACCATTTTCCCCGAAACTTGGCATCTTAATCCATGGCCTAGCAAGTCTCCCTGTGCGCTGTTGTCTCCATACAACTTTTTTGCATTTGCAGGCGTGAGCTGTAACCAGCTCTGGTGACAGTTTTTCTCACTAAAGAATAAGAAGGAAAATAATGACATTGTAAAATCTGGAGCTGATCAACAAATCTGTTGGTGAAGCTCAGAGCAACTTGCAGCGTTCTGCAGTTAGTCTGCTGCTATTACTGCAGCTCACATGCTGCTTACGGTAACATAGAGATAATTTGGTACAGGCTAGTTACACTTCTAATGAGCCTGGCCAGAAGCCTGCCAGGTTTGAAAAAAGAATGTCTGAGAAGTGAGACATTAACTACTTGAGAGACAATAACATCCATAAACTTGGATTTTCAAGTTAAGCAATAAGAAGAAGAGAATCCAGAAGCTGAGGGACAAAAAAGAATACCTGCCCTGTGAGGCCATGGGTCTGGAGTTCTTGCGTCAAAAAGCTTTCCTCAGCATGTAAGTTTCAAAGCCTGCCCTAATAAATGCTGAGAAAGGTTGATTTGGTAACTCTGGCCCTGGCTTGCAAGTGACCCGGTGGGATCTCAGCCCCTTCTTTGGCCTCACATTTTCCATATGGCCAGAGGCAAATCATGCAGACATTCACCTGAGAGGTTTGTCCCCACAGAGCCTTACCCTGCAGGACTGGGTGTAGATGTCAATTTGCTGCTGACCTTTAAACGACTGTAAAACTGTAACTTGGCCACACTACAAGCACTCCCACTAACTTTATACTTCCTGGGGCTTATTTATTATGCAAAACCAGGCAGGTTTTGCAAGCTAGGAAGTTGTGCAGAAGAGCAGCTTTTATCACAGCCCAGTGTATTCTTTGTTTTGACATCAGCTCAATTTTGTCCTGTTTGGATAACTGACCAGAGAAGAACTACAAAAACTTTCCATGCTAGATAAGGTTATCCATCTTGAGGAAGAACCTGACAGCAAAAGACAAAAAGGAGACAAGGCATGTTTTCTTGCTTCTCCAGCTAAGCTGATTTGTAAAATATACAACTTTCACACTGCTTTTTAGAGTTAATACAGATCCTTGGAGATCCTATGGAGTTGTAAGCCTCCATAGAATATTCTAAAATCTTACAGAATATTCTAAAAAGACTGCAATGTTGGGTTGGATATACTATTTGAAATGTGCATATAGATTACAAAAATAATTGTTTGATTCTAGTTAGCTTCTTTTAAACAGGATTCATTTGTCCTACCACACAACAGCTGGGTCTTTAAAATGTCAGGTAGCTGTCAGGGGGCACAATAAGAATCCACAAACATCTGATGAGTATAAATATCAAAGCAGGAGATTCTCCAGTCAGGGTGGAAAGGGGTCAGTGCTGATTAGTTTTGTTACAGCTACTGACATCAGCACATCCTAACAGCCTGGTTGAACTTTTTGGATGAAGAAACAGACATGAACTGGCTCCCAGCAGGGTATATCTGAGACCTCATTACTAAATCAGACAGAGTTCTTAGGCCGGTTAAGTTACAGGAATTGATTCTGAGCCAGAAGAGCAAGGGAATACAAAGATAGCAACAGACTCTGAAGATTCTGGGAGGAAAAAGGTGTTTGGGGTGGGAAGGAGGAGGAAGAGGCAGGGCAAGAGATTCGAGTTGCTCTGCAAGAAATAAAACAAACAAGGTGGGGTTTGACTGACTGTTTTCGTGGATTTGTGGTTATCTCCTAAAATCTCCTCTGCTGTAACAACCTTGGGCTCTCTCCCGAAACCCACTCTCCATATAGGGCACATGCTATGCTCAATCAAAAATGTTTGAGCATACGTTGGCAGGCTGGTGGCTCTCAACCGCTATACAAAGGCTGGCTTCCACCTGCCTTTTCCACAGCACAGGCATTTAATTACCCACTTTGTCCTCTGTACAGCTGCAGTTTTCCACAGACCTTATTTATCTTCCGATTTCAGCTCATCTTTCAAATTTGGTTGAAAATGGGTCCCAAAGTTTTAAGGGGAATTGCTGAATGTACAGAGAGATAAACAACACAATCTCACAAACCTCATTTCAAAGGCAACCAGGGCTAAAAAAAATGCCAGTTTTTAATTCCTGATCCTGTTCATGCCAAATGTTGTCTAACATTTCAGTAGCAATCTGCGGCCCTGAGAGCCTCTTTAAATATCCTATCAAGAATATAAAATAAATTGTGATAAATGTAGTCAGTATAAAATAAAATGAATTGAAATTGGTTGCTGGGATGCAAAACTGAAGTTGACAGGCAGTTGTGAGGAAACTTGCAAGAAAATGCTTATTTTATGTATTTCTTTGGGGCTTAGCAGCCTGGAGCTGTCAAGATGGTTTTGCACATGCTCGGCAGCAAAAACAAGGGAACTGAGCAATTTTACCAGTGGAAAATGTTAAATTCCTACTGCATCAAGCAAACCTTCAAGATTAGAGATGCTATTAATACCTGTAACTTAAATAAAGTTACTTACATATATATGTATTTACGGGCCTAAGATGCCCTTGTAAAACCCCATCTTTAATATCTTTAATAGCTTGCTGTAATAATTTTACCAAGGACTTGTGAAAATCTAAATAAAATATGTAAATTCACCTTCATCCATACCTATATGAACCATCCAGATAGCAGTAAGAGATTAATGAGATTTTTCTGTTCTATATTGTTTCTTAGACCACCTCATAACATAACCTTTGACATACAGCATCATTTCATTTTAACTTTAAATGAACATCTAATACATAATTCACTTTATTAATAATTACTTGGATTACTTTATAAAAATACAGGTTCAATACATTACCCATTGATCCTTTTAGTGGCAAATGTTTAAGGTGAGAGTTTGCATGTATAACAGCTACACTGCTTTGTTTTTGAGGTCCTCCAGAAAACCTCAGTGTGTTCCCTATAAGACTGGCAATTTGCACCTTAGCAATATTTCTGATGTATTCAACTCTAACAGCTATGGTATATTTCTAAAGACTGTAAAGCAAATAAATAATTTATCATTTAAAAAATAAGAGACAAACTCAGGATAAATGCATACAAGACAAGAAGCTCTGAAATTAAGTGGCAGAACTGATTTGAAGCAAGACATTATGGAGCCTTTTTCCTGACAATCAACATTAAAATAACATTACCTAGTAAGCTCAAATAAATAAAAAATAAGTCCAAAAATAAATCAAAGTAGGTATAATAGAATGACGTTAGTCTCAAGTTTGCCTCAAGACATTCTGTCTCTTCTGGTAACACTTCTTAAGTATTATCTATCTTGTTCACTCAAGAGCAGTTACACATCATGGAAGTGAATACAAGCTGAAAAGAGTTCCAAGTTCCCAAATCCCAGTGATTATTATTTGCAAAAAGAACAGAACTCTTTTCATCTACAAACCAACATAATTACTCTAGATTCCGTAATTCAGGGTGTAATTCAGTCCTGTGTGGAGGATCAGGATAAGACTAATGCACAGTGAATTCATCAACACCAGATTAAATTTGCTTGAACTCATACCTCCAGCCTGGGAGGACCTGTGTTTAGCCAGTGTTCCCAGCAGACTGGGTAGCCAACTGCCTTCATGCACCCAGGGCAAAGCACGCTGGTTTCAGCATCATCCATCTTGCTTCCTGTAGAAGGAAGTGGAGAAGAAAACATATGTGATATGCTCTTTCATTTTATCTTTGGAAGACACACAAACACCTCAGCACTGGGCCATCAGTTAGGAATGAGAACATAATAAAATCGTAATGTATAAACCATAGATTCCACTTGCAGGCCTCTGTCTAGCCAACTGCTTTCAAACACTCAAACCTCCTTTTTGTTGCTGATGTTGGGGATATTTCATTTGATTTCTTCATGGTTGTGATGACTACAGCAGCATCCCTAAAACGCTCCTTAGCTGCATCTCAAAATAGTCTGATTAATCAACCTGATTTAAGAGTGATGAACTTTGTTCTTCTGCACAGCTTTTGATTTGCATCTAATCTTTTTGATTTTGCATCTAAGACTGTAAAATCAACTCGGGTACAGAAGAAAACTGAATTTTCCCTGGGAAAGTAAACAAATGCAAAGCAATGCCAAGGTGCCCATTTTCAAAATCAGCTGTCAGCAATTCAAGAATTTGCACACTTTTACATTCAATATGTCACTAACACTTAAATGCTACAGTGAAAACACCCATATGAGATCCGTTAATGGACCTATTCGCACATGACAGCTTCACCACCCAGCCCTACCAAACCCTCTTTCCAGCTAACCAGTTACTGAAAGTTATTGCAGCCCTTCAAGTGCAGCCAGATCCTAATGTCCTCCCCCATCTCATATACGAAATGTCAGGAATTAAAGTTATTTAGATTAAATTCAGCCCTTAGTGACCCCTGTGCAAACTTTTAGTCTTTCATAAATTTTAGAACCTTTTTCTAAACAAGCAAGAACAGCATCCAGCTTCCTTTCTCAGAAAGGTCAGTAGGAGGTAGAGAGCAGTGCTGATTTATCTTCATCGTTTGGTGACAGGTTCTGTAAAGGAAGCTGCCTTTTTACATTACATTTTTTTCAGAATTGGGCAGGTGACAACTTACAATTTGTCACATCTATGCCATTCATTTGGTGGGCATCCTTCATCCATACTTGTTACTTGGGTGACAAGATGTTGGCAAACGTTTTAGAGTTATTGTTGTGAAAATGAACTTTGCATTTTACCAGCAGTCGAATCTGAGAAGTCATCCTTGAAGACACTTCCAACCATGCATTAACTCTCCAATATATATACTTAAATCAGTCCATATACAAAATCATTTGAGGATTTTAATCCAAGGTACAGGAATGCTTATGTGGGATTCACTGGTACTTGGATTCTTCAGTTCAATGTTTCACTTTTTATGAAACTAAACTATGGACAGAGAGGTTAGGTTAGAGAAGGTTCTCAGGACATCTTCAATGACACCAAGAGAAAGGCAATGTGAGGTCCAGCAGCTCCAACTACTTTCCACTCCGTGATGGAAAATAGCAGCCTTACCCAGAATTTGTTTTATCACTGGCAGCTGACTGAGAGTCAGAATCTGACTCATTTTAGACTGGGGGGAAAAAATGGAACAAAAAGAAAATAAAGGCCTAAAATGCATCCATCCTTCACTGAAGTCTCTCAGTTGGGTCCACCTGCAAGAGTGTCCTGGGGACAAAGGATGTCAGTTGATCCAAAAGCCCAATCAGACTACAAAGGAGAAGAATAAGAGATCTCATTCCCTTGTGCAAAGCTTGAAGTTTGGCTTGAAAACCACAGGCTGCGGCCAAGGAAAGAAATTAAGACAGCTAGGACACATTCCTAAGAATGCTAATAAACGTTTTATTCCAGAAAGGTGGTAATATTCCAAAGATCTTGCTTTTGGTGTGTGGGGGGCATGAAGTTCAAAGCCCTACAAACGCACACAAAGGCTGCATAAGAATGCTGCTATATACATTATATATATGTGTAGCCTGAGGATCAGCACATAAAGGTATGTAACAAAGTCACAACAGTCAGGATTTTGAGCAAGCAGCTTTTGGAAAAGTAGCTCCTGACAGCAGGAGAGCACACAACAGAGCTGCCAGCTCTTCCTTTTTTTTCCCCAGAGGCCATAGATTTGCAGAATCATCTCTGGTCCCCAGAGAAATGCCCTTTGCTAGGCTGCCTTTCCTCATTTTCCTGTTCCCAGGAAAACAAAATACAAAAACCAAACCAGTCAATCAGAGCATCTCTATTTTCTAGCAGCACCAAGAGTAACCACCGCTGCGCCTTCCAGTCCTGACAGCATGTGCTGACTTTCAGGAGCTATTCCTATTGACTTCCTGGACTTACTTCCCCCCCAAACCCTGACATCCTCTTCTAGTGTGTGGATAACCCCTGCCTTGCCACTCATCCACTTTTAATTAAATACGGTTAAGCACAGGGAAGAATAGCTAAGCACTTACAAGAGAAACGATGGGAGGGAAGAAGAACGAACTAAATGCTGTGCTAGAGGGAGAATAAAAGGTATCTGGGGTCATTTTCTGCCCCATTTCCCTCCATTTCTTCCTCTCAGATAAGAAAGTAAAGTAAGAATGTCTGTAAATAAGCATACATTTATGCGCCTTTATATGCAAATGTGTCTAACGATACAAATGAGTTTTTGCTCCTAGCTGCTGACAAGTACGCCTGACAGTCTGAGATAGTGAAAGTGCAAGTCACCGAACAAAAAGCTGTGTGGAGAGCAGCAGAGAAAATGGGTCTGAAGGAAAGGGAAACTGCTTAAAGTCTATCTTTTAAAATAAAAACATGTTCCCTGGTCAAAACAGCAACAGGCAAGACAAAATAAAACATTCCACACTGGGGAAAAAGTGCAGGAAATATAAGAACAGAAGACAGCAGGAGAATATCGGTTCAAGAGACAGCATATGCAAAGGTGAGTAATGTCTAATTCCTCGGATCTGTTTCAAATGGCAGCGTTCATGAAATCCAGAGAAGTGGAAATGGTGTTTGGCAAAAATAGCCCACTTAAAGGGGAAGGAGTGCAGTGCCTATTGACATATGGGGCTGTTAGCAAACAAAAAGTATGGGTAGTGGCAATTAGGGTTGTGGCAGGCGACATTCCATTCACTCCAAAACCAGAAATAATGGAAAGGACTGACTGGAAAGGTTGATGTTTCCCTTCCATGAAACGATTAACACTGCCTACAACATTTCAGCCTACTTCACAAGGGCTTCCCCTATATTTTCCTGGAGATATCAAAAAGCAATACATGCGCTTCATCTAACGTATCATCTGGCCTGGATTCCATGTGCACTTTTAAGGATTATAAATCAGTTAATTTTGCATCATGCTACCGCAAAATATTCAAGCACCTCTGAAAACATATAGTCTACATTTGGGTGGTTGCCATTTCAATGAGACTCTTCTACAAAATAAAGGTTTAAAGCTTGTGTTAAAAATGAACTCTGTAACATAACTTGAAGCAAGTTGCAGCAAATGCTGTGCCATCATACCATCTGTGTTCAAGTACAGCTCTCAAGCTCTCCTCCTATTGCTTCCTAAAGTGGAAAATAATGGTAAAAAATAAAATCAGATAAGATGAAGAAGCATTGTGCATTGGAATATGTTATGATCCTGAGCCTCACAACGCTTGTTTCAAAAATTGACTTCTCTGTATCTGTATACCCCAACAAAGCATCATTGTGGAAGTAAAAAGAAAGGTTATACTCTTCTTCATATTTAAATTAAGCAACGTTTTCACCTGACACAGCTAGCAAATTCTGGTGAGCTTTGTTCTACCAGATACTGCTGGCTTTGCTTTATTTTAGCTCTCTCCACAAGTGTTCCAGCAATATTCCATGGGAACGTGAGTGAAATTTATTAGATCTTGGAGTAAATGGAAGGCACTAGAACTGCTGAGAAATCAAAAAGAAAAAATACCCCACTGTTAAATCAATGCCTAAGATAAGAGGAATTGCTGGAGAAAACTTACACGGAGAAAAACATACAAACCCCAACATGCATCTTAGGCCATGAGGAAGTGTAGTAGAAGATCCATAAACAAACCCTAAAGGTAAAACACTGAAAGCCTAACTGTTCTTTATATGATATAATTTTAAAGGTAAATTAATAAAAACCCTACCCTTAAAAAATCAACTTTCTCATATGGAGCTTAAAATAGCACCTTTCTGACAGTGAGTCAAAACACAGGATCATAGTTTTGAAGATGCAGAAATAACCCCCCTGTTCTGGTCACTTTATCACACTCTCAAGGTCTCCAGTCACTTCATCACTGCAGAGCAGAAGGAAGACAAGGAACATGCTGGGAAGCTATCCCAGAAGTGCCTCAAGAAGACAGAGGCATGCAGGCAAGACCAGGAGGCACAAGGCAGAAGGCAGAGCACCTGCAGAAGAACCTGATGCTCTTTTCTCTGGTACCGTATCAACCTGGTCCTGGCCAGTCACTCAACAAGAACACAAAGACATTCATAACTTCCTCTTGATTTCTGAGAAGCAAGCACCTCGCTCTTCCTATGCTATTCTCACATACTGCTTTACCAACAGATTTTTATGACTCTGCCGACATAAATATGTGTCTGTCCTGTGCTGGTGGCTACGTCTGCATGAGCTGTTCCAAATGATCAGTAAAGCGAGTATGTGTGACACGAGCAGGAGCCACTCGGAAAGCTGCTGACACTTGATTTCCAATTAGGCTGTGCAGCTGGGACACCGTAACTGACACTGTGAGAAGGGCCTGAGGCTTCATATGAGACCTTGTAGTGGAAAGGAACAGGGTGGAGCACTCAGCGGAGTCTGCCATAGGCAGCAAGCTCCTGGGAGAGGGTATGTCCTTCTCCCCCAGGAGATGCTCCTGCTCTGTGGAAAACCTCCCTACCACCACCCCTGTCCTACTTGACCCTTTCCAAAAAACATACCAAGGTGCCTTCTCATCTTATTTCTAATTCTGTGAGATAGTGCTGATCCCAGAGCCCAGGAAAAAGCATGAAAGAGGTCTGCACACTTGAGGCAGGGATTCAAGCTGGAGCATGCTGCTCAAAAAGGGGACACGGGAATGCAGGCTTTGATCACCTTTGGGAAACACTCTTCTCAAAACCGAAAGTGTTTCCAACAGCAGCAATGTTTATTATTTTCATACTCTTCTCACTCCTGTCAGCACGTTCTCATCAAGGTTTGCCTGGTGCTCACTGCAACGCCCATCTGCCTTTCCAAGGCTGAGGCTTGCAAAAGGGCTGGCTGTTTGTCATCTGCGTGGCCCAGCAGCATGTCCACCCTACTGGGCTCCGCCGCAGCTGCCGGGCTCCTGCCGCGATTCCATGTGCCCTTTACGGGTCTGTCCTGCCAAGCCCACACCTCCTTCCCACTCCCGGCCCAGGATGGGGCTCCTGGCAGCAGCGCGGTGCCGCGCTCGGCAGGGACGGGCCTCACACGGACCTGGGAGCACCGGGACCCAGTCCCCTCGTGTCTCAGCCACCGACCCGGCACAGCGGGAGCGGCGCTGGACAGGCTCTGGGGAACGGGGTTTGACCGGGAGAACTCGGCCCCTGCGGAAGGCCCAGCGGCAGGAGCAGTCCCTCAGCGGGTGCGGTAAACGGGGAGGGGTGTGTGACACCGTACAAAGCACAGGACGCACCGCGTGGTGCCGCCACACGCCCCCTCACCCACTCGGCACCGATGCCCGAGACCCTCCGCCACCGCCGCTCACCTCAGCCCACCAGCGGCGGCGCAGAGGCGGGTGAAGGGGGCTCAGCTGCAGGGTCAGAGGCCAGTGCCCAGGGGCGGCCGCCTCGCCTCGCCCCGCCGCGCACGGGCCCCGCCGCTCGGCGCCGCAGGCGGGGGCAGGCAGAGAGGGAGGGGCGGGGGAGAAGCGCGCGCCCGCGGGCGGGGCCGCCGGTGTGAGGCGTGTCCCGCGGCGGTTGGCGAGTGCCTCCACCCGCCCTGCGCGCGCCGGGGGAGGTGCGGGCTCGTGCTTGCGCCCTCGCCGTTGCCATGGCCCCGGCTTGACGTCACGGGCGGTGCGCTGCCCGTGCGCTGCGGCGCGGTGATTGGCGGAGACGCCGTGTGTGGCGCTGGGAGAGAGGCTGCAGCGCAGCGAGCCGCGACACAGGCACAGTCCGCGCCGCCCGCCCTGAGATACCCGCCGCCGCGCTCCCGCCGCGCACAGGTAACGGGGCCCGCCGCGCCGCCCCTCCTCCGGCCCCGCGCCGGGCGGCAGCCCCGGCACCCTGCCCTCCGCCCCCGGGGAGCTGCGCGGGGGGGGCGGGGGCCGAAGAGAGGCGGCCGGCGGCCAACGCCGAGCAGCTCCTTGCCCGCCCCCACCCGCTCCGGCCTCGGTGGCAGAGAGCGGGGCGGCGGGAGCAGCCTGCCCCAGGGGGGCCGCCGGGGAGGGCGGTGAGGGCCGCGCAGGTGAGGCCGCGTCTGCCCCTCCCCGCTGGTGAGGAGCGGGGAAGAGCGGCCGGGGGCGGCGGGAGGGGGAGGGGGCGGCAGGTGAGGGCTCCGCCCGTGCGGCGGGGGCGACCCCGCTCCCGTGGGCGCGTGGAGCGGCGGGTGGGGGCGCCGCCGCCTCCGGCGGGCGGGGGCGCTGGGTGTGGTCTGCCGCCGGGAGCGCTGCCCGGGCGCGGAGCAGCCGCAGCGGCCGCCCCTCGGTCGGTCTTGCTGCTTCCGCCCGCCCTGCCCCTCGCCCCCACCCATCCTGCCCGCCCCGCCCGAGCTCTCCGGCGGCAGCAGCGGCTCCCTCGGGACTACAGGGGGCTCCTCCTCCGCCGCCCCCTCTCACCCCCCTTCTTCGCATCTCCCTGGGGCTGGGCCCGTGGGCTGCCCCTCGTCAGGCCGCTGCCTGGGCGGGGACGCGGCATCCTCGTCCGCCGCCGCCCCCGGCGTTGGGCGGAGGTGAGCGGGATTAACGCGCGCTGAAGTGGGCAGGGCTCCGGCGCCGATCCGCCATGACAAAGGCGGCCGGCGAGGCGCTCCGTGTCTCCGTGGAGGGCGGATGCGGCGGCCGCAGAGCGGGAAGGGGAGGCGGGAGGGGCGGCCCGAAGCGGGCCACCGCGCCTCGGGGAGTCCTGAGGTGCTGCGCCGTGCCGCCCGCTCCTCCCTCGGGCCGCTCCATTTTCTGCTGTCACCCCGCGTGTGGGGGAAGCGCAGCAGCGCCCAGCCTCGCCGCGGGCGCCCTCGGCCTCGCAGAGAGGATGCTGCCGTAGAACTCGGCGCACGGGCTGTGGGGCTGGAGTTTTAACGACGCTCGTCCTGCTCACTCCCGGTGGTAAATAACCGTAGCCAAAAACCTGATTTAAAATGGCTCCTTAACCGCGCTGTTCATGGTGCGGTCAAGTTTTCAACGCATGTTTGCAAACGCTGCTGAGTTTTTGCCCCGATGGTGGGGGTAGCAGATACGCAGTCTTTCCCTTTCAGGTGACTGGAATGTTAAACATAGGGTTAATTTATACCGAAATGGAAGGTAGAGCTGCTATTGTTTGTGGTAACTTCATGCAGAATGGCAAAAATGTTAATGGTTAAAAATTAAGCTGCTGGATTGTTGTGTATGGAACATACAGAAATCCATAAAGCATACATGACCAAAATAATTCTTGCTTTAATAATATAATCGAACTTTAAATGGAGATGGTGTATCCCAGAGTGCATTGCCAGGGCCTCGAAATGATCAAGGTACATAAAAGGATGGGGTATGAGGGAGGAGTAATCTTTGCTGATGTACCAAAAAAAAACATTAACTGGTACTTACTTTCAGCAGACCTTGATTTTTTTTATTTTTTTTAAGTGCTGGTAAGATGCAGGTTCTGAAGCATCTCAGCCAGGTCACACTACCTCAAATACTGATGAAGTAGTATTTTTGAATAGTAAAATATCCTTTTGTCTCTGAAAGCATAGCCTCTCAGGTGGAGCAGCAGTACTTGGCTCAGGAGGTCTACGGTATCCCATTTTGGGAGAGGAAGTTAAGTCTTTTGAAGGGTCTGCACCTTCAAATTCAGATACTTAGTGCATTCTGGCTTTTTAACAGCCAGTGTGGGATTTGATTTGCAGATCCCTATGCCAAGTCCTTCTGCATGTAACGGTAAGATTCTGATAAGGCACAGAGTTGGCTGGTGTTGTGTGCCTAGCCTTTATGTGGTCTTCTGTGAAAAACTTAGGAGTGAATGTTTTCTTTCTCAATTTTGTTATATTAATAATTGGATGCAGTTGGTGCTGCAGCTTGAATATGATGTGATGAGAGTGATGGCAAAGAACTAGGATCATTTATGTGCATAAGACAGGAATGATTTGTTTTCAGTTCACCTCTGGATGCTTTTGTTTTTATTTCTTAACATAATGTACTTTCAAAAGTTAACAGTTTTTCAGAAGGAAACGGTGACTTTAACTCTTCACAAATCTGCATGTTTGAGCATCAGGTGCTTTGACATCTTGTAATGCTTTTACACGTTGTGCCCTGGATTTCAATTGTACGTCTTGCAGTTCCAAACAACTTAAAGAATGGTTGCTCTGCTATGCAAACACCTTTGTCCTTGATCGTTGTCTGAATAATGCCTCACTATTTTTCCTCTTCAGAAATATCAGCATGGATAAAAATGAGCTGGTGCAGAAGGCCAAGCTGGCTGAGCAGGCTGAAAGATACGATGACATGGCAAGTTGCATGAAGTCTGTGACTGAGCAAGGAGCTGAGTTGTCCAACGAAGAGAGGAATCTTCTCTCTGTTGCCTATAAAAATGTTGTAGGAGCTCGTAGGTCATCTTGGAGAGTCGTCTCAAGTATTGAACAAAAGACGGAAGGCGCTGAGAAAAAACAGCAGATGGCTCGAGAATACAGAGAGAAAATTGAGACTGAGCTAAGAGACATCTGCAATGATGTGCTGGTGAGAAATAATGAAACTGTTGATCCGTCTTTACTTAGGGTTGCAGGGTAAATGGTGCTGGGCCCTCTGGGACTGCTTCTAGTCTGTCAGTAAAGCTGTGCTCTCCTATGCTATTTCTGAAGGACAGCATTTAAAGAATGTCTGACTTTTCTCTCTCTGTAATGTATTGATTATTTATATACAAATCATCATAGTATTGAATGCTACAGCATTTGGAGACATGTTGAAATGCTATATAAAGTAATAGTTACAAGAAATCAACATATTTCTTTGAGACTGAACTTCATACAGGTGTAGTTTGGGGTTTTCTCGTCTGCCCTTCCCCCTCAATGCAGTATTTGTATCTTAAATCACTGACTTCTGCAACTTTAGTATGCTGCTCTAGTTGTAAGAGTTAGTTCTTACTCTACGGAAATTGTGCCCCTCCCTGGGCAAGATGATGTAATGTTAGTTATGACTCAGCCATGCAGAAAATTGACTGCAGGAAGAGGCAGTAGAAATGC